GTTTGTCAGTTCTCCCTTCTGCTCTCAGTACAGTACTGGACTCGATCAGAATGGAATAATTCCCTCATTAAAGCAGCTCCACTATAGTTTTGATCCACTATTGTTTTGACCCGAAATACTGTTTGAATGAGGAAATTATTACATCCGGATACACCTTTTCGCCAGTACAGCCCTGTAACCTGGGACTCCGTCCTACCCCCGGTGAGTACATGTCATGCTAAATCTCCGGGGTTAACTGCATCGCTAGTGGTTAGCTATCGCTAACCACTGCGATGCACTTAACCCCTAGTAAGAGGTGAGGTGGTCTGATCTGAGCATACAAAGTTCCTCATTGAAACTGTATTTCGGGTCAAAACAACAGTGGAAATGTTTTAATGAGGGAATTATACATCAGAGTGCTATAGACCAGATTTTCTTTGACGACAGTCACATCATATACTACACCATTTTGCGTTTAATTTCAGCTTTTTTTCAAAATATTTCCACCAACAGCGGATATATTTCACCTAACACCCATTTTAAATCACCCAACCTCCATTATACTTCACCCCGACGTAAAATATAGCCGTTATATTTCACCCAACCAACGATTAATTTCACCTTTCGAAAATATATTTCGCCTGACCATCTATATATTTCATGAAAAATAAATCCTTTACGTTCGAGAGGGTTAAAAGTAGACACAAGCAACACATTACGGCTCAAGCGCCAACGTCCATGCCTTCCATGTTCTCAGCATGGCCATCAAACGGCTCAAGGCGAGCCGTGTACACATGCAAACGATATTGTATGCGAAACTTATTACGAGTTTAACCATCTGTGGCGGCCACATATCAGAGTTTTGTGTATTATCCGTAGATTACCGCGTTGCATTGGTGTCAACGATTCTAACATGAGCCATCCCTTTGCAGTCGACTCGTTGATTCCATTTGCACGAGCAACGGTCTTCCAGGCTTGTCCGGCGTTGTGTGCTGCGACTACACGTCTCTTGGCAGAGAGTGGAACTCGCTTGTAGGGGCCACGTCGGGGTGCCTACATGGCACGTTAGCGGTGGATCGTTCGATACAGAGAGATCTACTGGAGTTTGTGGTGCAGGGATGGCCTATTCCATCGAGCTCAGATTCAAGAATGGTGAAGTGCGCGCGAAACTCTTCGCGCACTTCGATCTTTCTAGATTCTCATCTCGAATTATAATGATTGTTAGGTGAATTTAATTTTTGAAAGGTGAAATTAACTTATTCACAGTGCAGGCTTTCAAACCTTTCCACATGTAATGCATTCATTACTTTGAGAAGGTTATTTGAAGACTCGGCATCCTTTCGCAAGCGTTATTTTATGAATGTTATTCGAAGTCACAACATTTTGTCGCATATATCCCAATGTAGGCAATACATAAGATTCGACAGGTAAATCCCATGGACCTCAATTGGACACATCACTTGAGCTGGGATTATGCTCTTCTAATTAATTCTTCCTTATTCGTCTCACCCTTAGTATCCGGTGGAAAACGTGGGAAGGGGTGTTAACCAACATCCTTCCCCGGGTTGGGCGCCAACCCGGTCACTAAATGAACAAAACCTCTGTGTATACATGAATCTAGAATAAAATGCTACAGTATTCCGGATATGTGATATCAAGCGGGGGGTCGCCCTACTTTGCCTTTCTTCTTGTTGGCCACCGAAACCTGCATGTTACCGGTGGCGACACCTTGATCTTTGGCTCGTGCAAGGATCTTTCGAATGCACGACACGTTGCATTGGTACTTGCTTGCGAGGTACGGGCCAAAGCCCTTGGGTAGTCTTGAAGCGTAGCAGCCGTTCACAGTAAAGTGGTGGAAATAGTGATGTGACAGGTAGGTTTTCTTTTCGTAAGTGGTCGCAAATGGCATTTGTGCTTGCGAGGAGAATACACGCAGCAATGGACACTAGATTGGAGACATAATCAAGTGATTGTAGGCAAAAAATAACGTTAACCTCAATGCTACACCAATTGGAAAAAAAATGGCAAAGAAATAATTATATGACAA